ATTCAGTATGCATGACTGTTGTTTCCCCTCCTTTTTTTCCTGGTATTTCCCTTTTTCTAATGTTCCTTTCTATATTTAGATATGTAGCTTCAAAGGTTTAAAAGAATTTTGCACTTAAAACTTCCCTACAAGCAAATTTGCATGATTACATTGCCACCCTGGGATATCTGAAAGATATGGTTAAAAAAAGTGAAAGATGACATGACAGTGTAATCAAAGCTCAACATTTTTTCTTTTAACCACCTGCTGTGGATACCCTTATAGCTCCACCTTATATCCTAAGGCTGGCAAAAGGTTTGTTAACTTCATGTTCTTCAGTAAGCTTGGCCATTATTGTCTGCCTGTGATACCAATATATATTCTGCTAGCCAGATCTAAGCATGAGTCTCTTTGAAAGTGTATCCATCAAGGTTCAGATTGAACAAATATTTGCCAAGAATATTTGTTGCCAAAAATTGTTCTCCCATCTTTTAAAATGGCCAAAGTGCTGCATTATTGTTATTATGTTCATGGCCCAGTCAGCCAGGTGTTTAAACTGTATTTGGCATTTTCATCCACCTACCTACTTAATCTTTCCCAAGGATCTGGACTAGGCTGATGTTGTTTGATGGTGTTAAAAGTATCACCACGGGATGTAAATTGTTCCAAGTAAGGCTCCTTTTACAATTGACTGGTGATTTTTGTAAGTGCCGTTGGTGATCAGCAGCCAGAATAGAATAGAATAGAATAGAATAGAATAGAATAGAATAGAATAGAATCAAGCAGGAGAACCTATACTATCTCAGACAAGTGACTGTCCAGTCTCTTCTTAAAAACTTCCAGTGATGGAGTGCCCACGATTTCTGAAGGTATCAAGTGATGTTCAAGTGATGTTCCAGATTTTTTGAGATTGCACCCAAGGTGCCTCTTAGTATTAGTACTATCTTTGCTTTCTTTTGTTACAGGCATTCTACTTCTATTTGCAGGTCTTTGTTTCATCAGTTCATACTCTTCTCTTCTGCTGTCTCCAGGTATTGCCATCTCCACTATCCAGAATCTTTTTTTGTTTTTCTTATCAACAAATGTTAAGTCTCGGGTGTTATGTCCCAGAACACTTTAGCTTCTTCATTTTCTGTGACTTTCTCTATTTTGTGGTCTCATCCGTTCTTGCTTGCAGGCAAATGATATTTCTTACAGATCTTCCAATGCACCATAGTTACTACTTTTCCATGCCGTTGCTTGCAGTCAGTCTGTGCAATCTTTTTGCAGCAGTTAACTAGATGATTCACTGCTTCTTCAGCTTCTTTGCAGATCATTATATTATTATGGTTTTAATAAAAGAAATATTCTTTACTGCACTGCTTGGATTTTTTTTGGGGGGGGGCTGATCCCACTTATTCAATTATAACTGCAGTCATGCTTTACATTAGTTGGTTTGTTTCTTGCAATGAGCTGGTGCTTATATTTGATATTATAGTAATGGCATGTTTAATTACTTCTGCTGATTGTTTCTTTGGAACAAACTTCAACCCAGGGAACCTTATTCTGTTCTTTTTACACTGTTTTGGATGCTCAGGTATTCTTTGTTTCAATTCTTTTTTATTTAATGTTGTTTCTGAGGAGAAGGCAGAAGGGATGATGTCTGATTTGAGAATGAAAACAATTTAAATAGTTATGTTGGCTTCTTGTACTGTTATTCTTTGTTTCAATTCTTCTACTTCTTTATTTGGAAGGCTTTGTTCTTTCTGAGGCAGAGGAGAGGGTGACAGGTTTCCAAATGAAAACAATTCTATATCTCTGCTGGATTCCTCTACTTCCAACTCCTCCAGCTTTACCTCTACAGTCTGAGCTACTACTGGCAAGGCTTTGATTTCTTTGCCCTAGGTAGACCTTTGCAGTTCTTCCAAGTCTGCTTCTGTGAATACTTTATTTCACATTATAAATCAATGTTGATCTACTAGCCTTTGTTCTGTAATTTTGGATTCTGGATGTTGTCCCTTCCAGAACTGGTGCATTCTTGTCAGATATCTTCTTATTGGGCTTAATTTGTAATAGCAGAACATTACCTCTTTGTTTTCAATATTTATATCTTTGCAACATGTAAACACCTTTTCTTCCAGTAGTCTTGAAGCTGCTGTCCCAGGATGCTCATCCAAATGTCCTAAGTTCTATAGGTCACTTGTCATCAGATATTCAGGAACTCCAACATGTACGTAGCACAGTCCTTGTTGATTTGGGTAAGGACCAATCTGGCATGGATTTCAGTAAATTACATCTTGCCATATTGGTTATTGGGGAGACATTCTTCATCTGGCTTTCCTGATGAATTCTGTCCATACAGTTGAACCTCTGGCACAGTGGTGAAATGTAAAATTTGTTACTACCGGTTCTGTGTGTGTGGCTTGGGGGTGGTGGTAATATGATTGAGTGGGTGTGGCCAACTTTTTTTTTTTTAACTTTTAAAACCATTTTTTCTACAACCTGTTCAGCTGAAGAGGTTGTAAAAAAAATGCTTTTAAAGCCTCTGACGATCCCAGCTGACTTGCATGATCGGCAGAGGCTTTCTTTCTTTTTTTTTTAAAGCTTCTGATGATCCCAGCTGAGCCGCGCGATCATCAGAGGCGCTTTTTTTTTACTTTTAAAAGCATTTTTTCGGCCAAAGAGGTTGCAGAAAAAATGCTTTTAAAAATTAAAAAAAAAGCCTCTGATGATTGCGCGGCTCAGCTGGACAATGGGGGGGCAGGGATTTTTGCTACCGATTCTCCGAACCACCTGCCTCCATCGCTACCAGATCAGGCGATCTGGTCCGAACCGGGAGCATTTCACCCCTGCTCTGGCATAGCTCTCATCTTCCTCAGAGCATGCAAGTCCCACAACCACATCAAGGTAGTGTCTCCCTGGGGGATTATTATTATAATGGTTTGTTACATAGTCAATGAGAAGTTTAAAATGGACTGGTCATTTTTATCTACCTACTGAGTCTTTCTCAAGACCTGGGATAGATAGATGTTATTTTATGGTGTTAAAGCTATTGTCATAGGATGTAAGCCAGGGGTGAAATCTAATTTTTTTTGCTACCGGTTCTGTGGGCGTGGCTTAATTAGTGGGCGTGGCTTGGTGGCAAGGTGACTGGGTGGGCGTGGCCAAGTCAATGTCACTTCTTTGCCCTTTTTTAACCTACAAAACACAACACAACACAACTGGCTCACCCACAATGTAAAAGCAGCTGTGCTAAGACCCAAAATGGCCCCGCAACAAGCAGGAACTTCACACAGCCACAAAAAGCCCAAAAAAACAACTTTCATACTTTACACACACACAACACAACACAACACAACTGGCTCACCCACAATGTAAAAGCAGCTGTGCTAGACCCAAAATGGCCCCTGCAACAAGCAGGAACCTCACACAGCCACAAAAAGCCCAAAAAACCAACTTTCACACTTTACACACACAAAATTCCACATACAGCTTTGTGAGATTTTGTGTGTTTGTGTAGTTAGAGTGAAACACTACAGAAACACAGTAAATCTCAGAAAGCTGCACAAATATTATTTTATTTTTATTTATTTTTATTTTTATATAAAAGCAGCTAAATTTAAAACTTCCTAAACTTTAAATGGCTAGGTCTAAAAAAAGAACAACTAAAAAAACCCCCAATTAACTATTTTTTTTAAAGCTCCCAAAGGGGAAAAAAACTTACCCAATAGAACAGGGGTCTCCAACCTTGGCAACTTTAAGACTTGTGAACTTCAACTCCCAAAATTCGTCAGCCAGCTTTGCTGGGAGTTAAAGTCCACAAGTCTTAAAGTTGCAGATAGAGCTGCTCACCGATGAGCTTGATTGCAGGCAGGGAGATTCAGTTGCTTGCTGATGCAATGGATTGCCTTGCGACCAGCAGCTAAGGTAAGCAAGCTGGAGGCTTGGGGGGAGGGGAGAAAAAAAGAAACTTTTTTTTCTTTTACATGGCTCTGGCGATCCAAGCTGAGTTGCCTGATCAGCAGGCAACTCAGCTGGGATCGTCAGAGCTTTCCTTTTTAAAAGGAAAAAAAGGCTCTGATGATCACGCGGCTCAGCTGGGCATGGGGGGGCGGGGGCAGGGATTTTTGCTACTGGTTCTCCAAACTGCCCACCGCCATCGCTAGATACTCGCCTGAGCTGGTCCGAACTGGGAGCATTTCACCCCTGATGTAAGCAGTTCCAAGTAAAGCTGCCTTTTGCAATTGACCAATGGTGATTTTGTCAATGCTGATGATGTTCAAGTGGTGGTCCAGATGGGATTGCACCAAGATGCCTATTACTATTATCTTTGCTTTCTTTTGCCACAGTCATTTATTTTATTTGTCATCTATATTTTGTCATTTTTCCAGTTCTTCCTCTTCTGTTCTGAACAATCGTGGACTCTTCAGTGTTATATCCCAGATATTTTAGTTTATTCATTTTTTATGACTTTGTCTATTTTGCAAGAACCTCCCACCAGTTCTTGCTTGCAGGCAAATGGTATTTATTGCACCATTGTTGCTATATTATTATATGGTTCATCACATAGTCAGCCAGATATTCAGACCCAATTTGGTATTTTTATCTACTTATCAAGTCCTTTCCAAGGACCTGGGATAGGCAGATGTGGATGTTTGATGGTTATTATTGTTAGGAATTATTATTATTGTGGTCTGTCGCACAATCAGCCAGATATTCAGACTGGATTATGATTAGAAGTAAAACAATATTCAAACATTTCTTGAGAAGGGAAACTGCCAATGGAACAATTGTAAAAACGTTATTCAGTGATGAAATCAAAGGATCAGTCACTGGTTATCTGGATCAAGAGAAAGCAAGAAAAAATGTTGAAGTGTCAAAAAGTTCTGAAAAATGAAACAAAATGGAAAAGTGTCAAAAAAAAAAAACTTCAGGAAAATGAAGACATGTTCTCAATAGCGATTTTATTTATTTATTTATTTAAAATGTCTTAAATAAATTTCCGGTGTATTATTTAACTTGGCATCACTGGGAATTCCTTTGTCCTGGGATGCCTCGGTTTTCTCCTGAAGCAGGTGCTCCTGCTGAAAATTGTACCTTGGGGGTAAAGTAAAGAAATTATATTACTTCCCCCATCACATTCAGGGTCTTAATATAACCTTGGATGTTACAGTGCTAATTACAGTATCTTCAGCTTCACTTCAAACAAGTAGTTAAAGTACAAGTGCTAATGGATGCTATTGTGAAGGAAAAAGCAAGGAATACAGTGGATTATTAGCCTGATTACTACCCTAGGAACACGTCATCCAAACAACATTGACTTGTGATCCCTTCAGAAATAGAGAGAATCCTGTGGCACGCTGTGAATGGTGAGCAGCCAGGTGGAAAAAACAACTGTATAATAAACAATATGTTTTTTTGTCTCCCACCCTCTATAATGTAGTGTGTTTTGCATCATTGCCAAAGACTTCAAAACAATAATAGTACCTGCATTGCAGCTTGCTAGTGAGTTAATCACAATTTCAGAATACTTAACAGAAGCACCAATATTCACTTAGCAGGCCCTAAAGTTAGATTACTCCCTAATGGTATAAAAAAACAATGAAAAGTGGAATTGACTCAGAGACCTTGATGCCAAGTACAATATGGTTGATATTTGTTCCTAGAGCTGTGATGGTGAACCTATGGCAAGTGTGCCACTTCAGGCACACAGAGCCATGTCACCTGGCACATGCGGCAGCACCCGTTCCTCTTCTGGGTTTCTGGTGCGCATGCACGAGCGATGATCAGCTAGTCTTCCATTTTCTGGCATGACCATGTGCACTGGCCAGCTGATCGACACGTGTGCATGAAGACTTGCCGGCTGGCGCACATGTGCATGCCAGAAACCACAAGTACATTTTCTGGTGCACGCTGGCCAGTTGATTGCCGCATGTGCATGCTCGGCAGTAATCTGAAGACTTGCTGGCAGTAAAGAAGAAGAAACTGCAGTAAAGAAGAAACCTGAAGACACCACAAGTACATTCGCCAGCGTGCGCATGTCCCGGGCAACTCCTATTCCTGGTCTCAGCCCAGATAAGCGCATACACGAAGTGCTCTCTTTTCGACACTTGGTGCCGAAAAGGTTCGCCATCACTGTTCTAGAGCAAAAGAGTTGTTTTTTTTTTTAGCATCACCTGGCCCTGGCAATATCAATTACAATCTTCTGTGCCTATCTTTCCTATTTTGGAAAAAAAAAATATTTCTCCCTTTTCCACACATAATGTTTAAATGCTCAAAGTACATAAAAAGATCTGGTCTGGTACAATGTTATAATGCGTTTGCCCTCCAATATATATAGCAAAATTTTATACAATTTCATGCATCATGCAAAAAAAGGATATATGCCTGTGATGGCGAACCTATGGCACCCATGCCAGAAGTGGAATACAGACCCATCTCTCCGGACACGCGAGCCATTGCCTGTTACTCTTCTGGGTTCCACGTTGCTGGCCAGCTGGTCTTCACACATGTGGGAGCACCGGAAACCAGAAGATCAGGTGATGAAGATCATCTTCATGGCGCATGCATGCACACCGGGTGGCTGCTCTCCCGGTTTCTGGCACACGCATGCGCACTGGCCAGCTGGTCTTCACACACGCATGCGCGCCAGAAAGCAGAAGACCAGGTGGCCAGTGTGCATGCACATGCCGGAAACCAAAAGAGTAGCTGCCTGACGTGCAGCTCTTCCGGTTTCCGGCACATGTGTGTGCGGTCCTGTTTCGGCATTCGGTGCTGAAAAGGTTCGCCAACACTGATATATGCATTAATTTACTTGAGTTCCTCCTAATGTAGTAAAAAAAGACTTGGCAGCTTACGGTCTTATCAAATTACATTAAAACATCCATGGAATAAAACAAAAAGATGAAAAATGATTTAAAAAATGCAACCAATAGATGACAACATTCTTCGTTGAAAAAAATTCCCTCTGCTTACCATAATTTCCAAAAAGGCAATAAATTTTTAATTCTTGCATTTTATTGTCTATATTTCTAAAAGGATCTGAATTGTAGCTTATATTTACTATAGCATGCTTGCTATTTTTGTTTCATATATGCAGAAAAATCTACAATTATGACTACGTCATCCCTTTATGTTGCTATTTACTCACATTTCGATTTTGCAATGATGGACGTACAATAAATTACAAATAATATTTTAAGGATTTATTATATATAAGGATTTATTTATTCATTACAAATACATAAGTATCCTGTTTACAAACAGGATAAGGAAGCCACATTGGTCGATATTTTTGCAATATCGTTAGTAAATAATTTAGCTTTGCAGTTAAACAAAGATACAAAAGAAAAAAAAAGATTAAACTAGAAAGGCAATAGTGTTATAAGAGCTTTCCAGAGACTGTATAAGAAGCAGATTTAAATCTTTAAATGCTTGAAATAGAAATCTCTTCACATGTGAATAAGCTCTACTAAATTACATAGGATTTAATTACAAGAATATACATAATGCAACTGTATGGCTGCATTCTTCTGCTACTTAAGTTAAAGTTTAAAGGCAGTACAAGCATAGTTCTGGGACTTAGGAAATCAGTAATGTTCACAGGGTGACTTCCATCAGAAGAGATCCAAGGTTAGGACATTTAGCACTGAGTTAATGGATGTGCAGAAGAAAATCTTAAAGAGATCCCAAGTTTCCTGTTAAGCATTTTTTGGCAATCTTCTAAGTGCTAAAGATGCTAATGCTTTGGAATTCATAATTCATTTAAGAAAGCCCTTCTTATTAATAGAGATATGCCCTTACCTATCTGCCAAAAAGACAAGAAAAGAAACTAGGGTTTCATACATTGGAAATATTTATTGGCTTTCACGTATAGCAGGGGTAATTTATTTTAGCATGAATTAATTAGTCTTATTATGTCATGACTTGCAGTATTGTCAATTTTTCCAGCTGCAAAGATGCATAAATATTTGGTCCTTTTCCTCTCCTTTTTATATCTATTGAGCTTCCATCTGACATGGGATTGCAAAAGTCAAGGAAGTTGGGATAGATTCCTCTTCTTTTGTTATATCTTCAACATTAAGGTTACTAGATGTCCAGCAAATGAGGTCATGTCCTCCTTTGTCTTCATGTATTCCATCCAACAGGCATAGCCTTGAAATCAAATATTTCCAAGCTTTTTGAGAGTCTGGTTGGATTTTTTTTTTAATTGCACTCTTTTAACAACACTAGTCATTCAAACTTTGGTCTACTGCATTGTGACTTTGTACATTGTCTGGTTGTTGTTGTTGTTGTTGTTTCTTTTGCCTATTGACAGACTCAACAGTCAAGATCAGGGGTGTCAAACTCACGGCACATTATCGTCACATATGGTAATTTTTTTCCCTTCTCTAAACTGAGGGTGGACGTGGCCAGCATCTAGCCCACAGGCCGCGAGTTTGACACCCCTGCTCTAGATTTACATTATTCAGTCTAGCCTTTCAAATCCATGGTCACTCTAATCTGTAAATTACAGTATACATACAGTTCAAGGGTGAAATTCAGCAGGTTCTGACAGGTTCTGGAGAACTGGTAGCGGAAATTTTGAGTAGTTCGGAGAATCGGCAAATACCACCTCTGGCTGGACCCAGACTGGGGTGGAAATTTTATTTATTTATTTTATTTTATTCAGCTTATATGCTGCCCTATCTCACAATGGACTCAGGGCGAATCACAACAATAAAACACAAGCCACAATATAAAATAAAAACCAAAATCTAAAAAATTTAAAATTAACCCTTAAAACCAATTAAAACCCCATCATCAGTCCAGGTCAAGGGATTTGAAAAGCCAAGTTTTTAATTCCCGGCAGAAGGTGCGAAGGTCAGGAGCTAATCGGAGCTCCAAGGGGAGTTGATTCCAGAGGGTGGGCGCACCGACCGAGAAGGCTCTACCCCTGGGGGCTGCCAGCCGCCATTGTCTAGCCAACGGCACCCTGAGTGGCAATTTTGCAGTATCCTTCCTCTGGAGTGGGGTGGGAATGGAGATTTTGCAGTATCCTTCCCCTGCTACGCCCACCAAGCCACACCACGCCCACCAAGCCATGCCCACAGAACCGGTAGTAAAAAAAAATTGAATTCCACCACTGATACAATTCCATGGTGAAATTTGAAAAGTGCATTGTCATTGAGCCTATATTATTGCTAATGTATGATCTTGAAAATAAAGACTTGTTGGAAAAATATTGTGGTTATAAAACCACAATAATGCTGAAAAAGTAATTTCATATACATGTAGGCTTGAGTACAACTTTTTGCTGTAATTTTTGTTGCAGATGCAACAAATCATAATCAGTGTGATGATGTTAACTAGTTGGATAATGAAACATCTGCAAACAATCAAGTTCTGAGGCTACCAAAAACTCCGCATCATGTCTCTCTCTTGTGTGTGTGTAAATGATAGTGCAAAAGTCTTGGCACAAGCCCAGACATACCTGCTAATCAAATTCTATCCCTAAAATAGCACATAACCATTCCCATTTCTAAAGAAGAGCATCCCTAAAATTTCTGGGTTTTTTAATATTGCTTTTCATTCTTGTCCCATATTCCAAAAGAGGTAGCTTGGATATTAATTATCCCTCCTTCACTACTTATTTCCTGAAAAATATTTGGGGCAAATCCTATCATTTGGTTGGTTTTTTTTAGAAACACAATTAAACAAAAATCCTGAGAAGGTGGGGTTATTTTGGGGGGGGAGGTCAGGAAGTGTCTCTATCCAAGTCTGCCCTTTTATATTATTATTAATCATATTTCTATGCTGCCCACTCTCCGAGGACTCTGGGTGGTTTACAACAATCCACAGTATACTAAATAGCATATTGCGCCCAACAATCTGGGTCCTCATTTTACCCACCTCGGAAGGATGGAAGACTGAGTCAACCTTGAGCCGGTGAGATTTGATCCGCTGATCCGCTGAACTAGCAGTCAGCTGAAGTAGCTGCAGTACAGCACTCTAACCACTGCGCCACCTTGGCTCTCGGCTTTTTAAAAAGCTGATATCTATGGTTTGTGACTGCGGGATCAAGGAGTACTGCTCTGTTGCTATATAAAGAGAAAAGG